GCTGCACGGCTTGCAGCAGCGCGCCGCGGCGCGGAGCGCCCTGCGGTGTTTGCAGGACAGGTCGTCCCCTGGCCGCGCGGTCAACGCCTCTCCCTGGGAATCCCATGTCGGTAATGGCGCGCATTCGAACGGAGCCATGAGCCAGCTACATTGGCGGCAGCTTTCGCGCATTGGTAAGTCAAACGTCACCTTCCGGGCCCTGATGGGAAGCATATTGTGACCCTGCAGGAGCTCCGGCGGATGCTGCGGCACCGCGCGATGGCGTTGCGGGTGCGAGGGAACGCGGGGCCCATGCAGTGTTTGAAGAACACGTTGGTGCAGTTTTCTGCCCAATGTGCTGTGGATTGTTCCACTTTCATTGGCTATGCATTTGAACTTTGCTCCAGCACATCACAGCCTCACATCCAACTTTGCTCCAACACATCGCAACAGATTTGTCTTTGATCTTGGTTTATCTTGCGAAATCTGAAGCGATCTCTCAAGCTCGGCTTCTCCGAGAGTGCCCGAGTGCCCTACCCAAGAGGTGCAGGGGAACTGCTGCACCTCGCGCACCGTTGGCCGGGTGTGGGGCGTGATGCATGAAGCCGAGGCAAAGCTTTCGCTTGGGCGCGTTTGAGGCCAACCCACTGGGTTCCGACTAGTGTCCGCAATGAAAACCGCACACCTAAAAGCCCCAAAATTCAAAAAATACTCAGCACGAAACATCAACCACAAGAAACCTCGGAGTGCGGTTTTCGTCGTTTCTCCTGCCAAACCGGCACAAAGCGGACCAATTCCGGTGGATGACAGTGGGGCGATGGGCTACTTGTGCCCACTGGGCGCGCCTTTGCCGGTTGTTAACGAGCCGGGCCGCTGCGAGAAGCTGGGCTCCGGTGCTGCTGCGGTCCCGATGTAAACGCGCAACGCGCTCCTATCCGAAGGGCAAGGGCGACGGGTTGGGCAGGGAGGAGGGGTCACAGGTTTTTCATTTTTCAATTAAACTTTTTTTTTTTCATTTCGTGGTTCATGGTGCCCCCGAGTTCCGCAAATCGTCTGCCCAACCTGGACTCGCCTGCGCACAGGGTACAGGTATCATCGGTAGGGTGCAGCGTGCCGGCGTCGGCTGAAACCAGCCCGTTGCCTGGCTGCAGCCGGCATCTTGCATCACACGCAGGGGAGGCCACACAAAAGACAAACACATATGGCTGTGGGTCAAAACCAATGGCACCATTTTGAGATAGGTGCACCACCCATTTTAGTCTATTGTAGTGGGGATTGGGATGTCCACTGGGGGTACGATTTGGATTTTGACCCATGGCCACATGGAAGCCTCGGCGGAAAGGACCAAAAACACGGCCGTGTTCGATCCCAAACCTTCCACTTGCTAAGAATATGTTATATTTTCCCTTGTTGGTTTTAAAAGGAATTTATCACTACTGGAAGTATGTTTTTTTTCCAGGGGTCTTAATGGAAGAAACGGGGCTCTTTGCCAGGGCCTGGTGGCCAAGCAGCACCGGCGCTGCTTCGGGGCGCTGCAGGGCCCCCTGCTGCTGCGGCGCTGCTTCGAGCAGCTGCGCGCCGAAGCCGCACCGAAGCCGCTGGAGGCTTCGCGGTCGGAAGCGGAAGGGGCGGAGGGGAAGGGCGAGGTGGGATTTCAGTGCATGGTTCAGCAATGGCTCATGGAACTGAACAGCCGGGGATGACTGTGGCGAAAGCCTAGTTCACTGGAGCCGGGATCTTTGTCATAGAACTAAGTTATCTTACATGTGAAGGTTCCGCAAGCCTGGACCACAATCGACAATGTTGTTCTTGGTTGGGGCAAAATCTGAGGTAGGTAAGGTGCCAGGCGTTTGGATAGTTGACTCCTTTCCTGGCTCGTCCTCAACTTCAAAAAGCAGCTGTGATGTGGCCTCACAGGCAGTGGGCTGCATAGCTATCCAGCGATTTTGTTGAGCATCATGGTGTTTTAGTGAATGCGTTTACAACGTCGCCTGTTCAAACAACACGTTGCAAAACTATGAGATTTGATGGTGAAAGGAATCGTATGCTATTTGTCTTTATGTGTGCTCGAGAGACCGTGGAAAGAGAGAGAAGCCATGGGCACCCCAATTTTTGTTTTACTCGCCCATCCCCTACTTCAAATGTTTGCAAATCAGAATGAAAGTGTGGGCTAGCATTTGCCGGCCAATGTGAATTGTAGGGTTGGCTTATCCTTGGAATGGATTAACAAGGAGGTTTGATAGGAATCCTGCGGCAGATGTTTGTTGTCTTGTGTGTCGAGTCTAGCCTGCAAGACGGACGAGGATACTAAACGACCTTATATCTTGGCAGGTCAGTACGGCTTTCGACAGATTCCCAACATATTGAATGCCACGGGCATGCCATGTTTGATTGGAAGCTATTCCACTATGTGTGATACTTTTCCTGAGTACTCCACAGAGGCAAATGGTTTCAGAATGTCGGGAACACACACACACACAGGGACACACCAACCGGGTTGGGGGGAAATTTGGAATTGTTTGATGTGTCACCTTACTTTGCGGAGGTCAAAATGTTCGCCTCGTTTTGCTTTATTTGGGTTGCTAGTGGGAATCGAGCATGCGAGCGGTCAATTGTGCCGGCTAGAACATATGGAGGGACTGCGGGGGTATCTTAATATACATGTCTCTGGCAGCTTATTGCTATATATTACCATTAGATAGCTGCAAGCATGCCGGCTATGAGTCAAGCCACGGGTCGCATCTTGCCTTCAGAGACTGCAGGAGCTGAGCGACAAGGTACTTGGCCGTGAGGAGTAGGTGGGGGTGAGGTGACAAGATGGCTGCGACTCCAGGAAGCAAAAGCACATCAGCCATGGCCCTGCTGTAATCTTGGAATCTCCGCTATCAGGTCAATGATCACTCATGTGCAAGTCCGTGCATGCTTGGGCTTTTACCTCACCCTGTGAGATCAGGCACACACGCATACTGCTTGGTGATGTCCTTGTTGCCGCGCAGTTTACTGATACAGCCTTGCGGTGCCCAAAGGTGCATTGTACATACTGGCAGCCATAGGCAGAATAGCCTGCACGCGCCTCAACAAATACATTGAAAGATCTTGGCATTCTGGCCCTGTTCAGCCAGCAGTTGCATGTGTTCATGTCATGCTCTAGCAAATAAGGGTGAGCGTTTGATGTAGTCTATCTTGATCACTGGGAAACATCATGGTTGTGTGTGTGCCTTCCAGCCAGCAAAGCTTTGTCATGACTGAGGGGCTTACAAGGCAGTGGCCAATTCTGGCCCTTGGCTGTCCTAGCCCAGTGCAAGCAGCCGCGGGCAGTGTCACTCGTCCAGTCACCGGCCTCGCTTTTTCCCATCGAAGGGCTCGCCCGGCGCTCGGCAACCCGCGTCACATGGAGTTGGTGTCGGAGATTCGGTGGCAAGTCTATGGCAAGCCGACAAGGTCGTTGCACGAGTGGTTCCTTGTCTGGTCACGCCCCTTGTGATATCTGATGTGGCTGAGTTATCAGACTTCATAACGGCAAGAAATTAGCACCAGAGGGGCATTATCTATAGTTCAAGATCCGCCATGTTTTTTCTTCATACGGATGCAGGCAAGTGCACTTCAAGCCTGGTAAAAAGATTTTGCCCGTGGTCCGGTGTTGAAGGCAGTTGAGAACAAGACTTGTGGGTTTAGTCTTGCTTATGATGAACATGTTTCTGGTTTCATGCCAACAGCGAGTTTGGCACCAATTACAGAGTGAGGTGTCGGATTGTCCAGCAATGTGCTTGTGGTGTGATAGTATCTAGTTGAAGGAAACGTGCAGCGAAATCCTGATTCTGCAGCCTCCCTGACAACTCTCATTCAGAACTTTTAACCCAAACATGTTGAAATCAACGCCTCCCTCCCCACTCTCTACAGAGATTCACATATCGCCTTGATTTGGATTAGTCTGGCAGACAGCCGAGTGTATCAAGCACCCAAATGACCCACTCCACAAACAGATCAATCCTCTCGGCCGGGTAAAGCGGAGCCCCGGGTGTGGCTCTCGATGCCCCGGTCAGCTCATGGAGTGCAGAGGGGGGCAGCAGCCGTGACGAGAACCGGACTCGGATCTTCTGAAACGTTTTCGTCCAAAGCGGTTCGCGCCCGGGCAAAACCACGAGGTGCTGCGTAGAGGTGGGCAGAGATCTTGCACGGCAAGGATGCATTTCACGGCAAAGCATGTGAGCGGATGTCCGTGCGCACTTCACAACGCGGAAGAGTGTAAGCAATTGGGATGTCCTTGCCGTACTAGGGGCCTTGCTGTCAAACACTTCGCGCAGGAATGTGCCAAGACCTGACCGTGCATGCCTCCACAGGAGGATGCAAGCAGACAGACCCAGCTGGAAGTGGACACTTGTGAATTTCTCTCAAGTCGATGAATGGACTATACCTGTCTATTGTGCTAGCCGGCAGGGTTTGTGGCCACTTCCGACTTGGGCCCACTTGCAAGTAGCTTGGCCTCAAGCATGAACCTGTCTCCAGCCTCTAGATCAAGTTTTGGAAAAGGTCGGACGCCTGCCATTGCTCCAGGGAAACAGGTTCCAATAAACGGGATTCATGTGCGTTGCATCCGAAAGAACCACTAGGGTTACTCTGATTGCGGAGCCGAGACTTTGCTTCTGCAAGGCTTATCTCAAAGTCTCAACGGTGAGGGGAGAAGATGCCACCCACATTGCACCAAGCTGGGCAAGTGTCAAAGTTAGGGACTTCTCCGATTTTGTGCGGCTTTAGCAGGCAGAACACCGGGCAAGCAACGATTTTCAGATGAAGTAACTTGTTGCAGAGGGGGGCGCTGCCCTGTCGTGGACGTGTTTTGGGGGCAGCGTTTCTTTCACCGAAAGATAGTGAGCCTGTGGGTGTGGCTGGGTATGACCTGTCAGGGGGCGATGAAGTTGTCCTTTGACTTCAGAACAACAGAACTGGCAAGCGTATCAACGTAAGATGTGAACCCCGCAGATGAATCACCCTCCGTTCTGGCGCCGGAATCTTTGGCTGAGGCATGGATGCTGCTCCTGCTTCTTGTCCTTCCCCGACCATTTGTGTGGAGGCCGGTGTTGATCCAGTTGCCACTTTCAAGAGTTTCCCGGAATTTGAGGAGAGACTTCTTGCCAACCCTCAGCCTGTTTGGCGAGGGCTGACCCGGAACAACAATGAATCCAGCGAGGCAATTCACCCCGTAGATATGGGTTCACTGAGATATTTGAAGACAAGAATGCTCACAGCTTTTGCACTGTGCGCCAAGCTGCTGAGTTCTCCATTTCGCCATTGTTGGTTTGCACCTAGCTGAGAGCGGTCCACGTGCTGCAAGAGTAGGATACGTGTGCCTTTTGGGCTTCATGATTGTTGGCCTGCGGAGGAAGGGGAAACCGGATCGCCCTCTTCATTTCCTCCTGCTGCAAAGGATGATGCTTGCAAGAAGAGCTCTCAAGGCTTGGTTAGCCACAGAATTGAATTCTGACATGTTGCGGAGGCGAGGCGGGTCGGACCCTCCATTGAGGAGCATGTTTGTACTTGATTGATATGTTATACCGTTGACTCTCTGATTAATGTCAACCCGCCCCAAGGTTGACATCAGTTTGGAAAGCATTTTGGTGGGGAGGTGGAGGGGCATTCAGGACAGAAGGTAGAAGGAACCTACAGCACTTGCCTTTGGGTTGGGTGTTGACGGCCTTGGGCAATTTCGTGTCTTCTTTGTTGGGGTAGAGAGCGTCGTGTTTAATCAGGTGTAGCATCGGGCAGCTGGCACTTGGTGGACATCTTGAGCCGTTTTCAAGTTGCCAACATGGCTTGTTGGTTTGCGGTAGGGGAATCAGCAGGGCTTTGTGCGTGTATTTTTTTGGGGGGATACCCTCAAAGAGGAAACCGGAACCACAAGGGATGGCTACGGGTCTTCGGGTCATCTGCCGCTCAGACTCCGCTTCAGCCTTGCACGCCCGGAGGCCGGCTTCCGGGGACCGCGGTCGGGCGATCTGAGCTGTTCTCGTGGCGAGCTTCCGACGAGGTCCCCCAAGGTGCCCTTCTCTCCCCTTTACTAGGGGGAGGGTTCCCCTACTAGAATGGACTACAGGAAAAAAGAATTGGTACCCTTTTTTCGAACATGCGATGAGACACGACAGAGGCAGCAGTCAGCAGCCCTGTGAGCAGGAGCGGGGACAGACACCCTGGCGAATGCCGCAAACGCAAGAGACAAGGCTAGCGAAGGACAAGGCCCTCAAAGTCGCCCGTGGAAAAACGTAAACAAAATGGTGGGAAGACGGCGGGGCGTTCCTGGTGGCCAAAAGGAAGAGCGGGGCCAAAGCCATCCATGGCGCGACGGCGTGTCGAGAGGATCAGATAGGACGCGCCACGTCCCATGGGCTTGCGCTGAAATCGGGGCACCGGGACTCTCCAAAGCGGACTCCCCGCCCGGTTTGCAGCTTGCTTCTAGAAACGGGCCTGGCGGTCGCCGTACGCAGAATGATCGGATGCGTATTGGCAGCGACCTACTGAAGGGAGCCTATGAATTGAATTCACAGGCAGCCAGAACTGGAGGGATGTGCTCTGTTTTGGTTCGTTGGGGCTTGAGGTTTGGTGTCCATTCGTTACACACTTTCAGGGCGCTCGTGAATCACCCTACATTTATCAATTAGGGTTTCCCTGGTCCCACGAAGAACGGAATCTCCACCAACTACTTTTTTATAAACTAAGTCCCTCGGGGAGGGTTCCTTCAGGAGCATGAGTGGTGACTGGACTCCAAACAGGTCAACCGTTTTTAAGCTTTGAATCAGAGCATCCTTTCGATGAAGCAAAAAGGAAGCCAGCCGTGAGCTAGGAACACCAACCCAACACTGGCAGTGTTGACATTTGGCTGGATAGCCCCGGCCACAAGCACTTAGGTGCGGCGCCTGTCTTCCAAAAGCCTCAGGACCGCCATGTCGTTGCCTGGCCGGGAATGGCAAGGGTCGGCTGGAGGGAAGGCTCCTCCTGTTCCATTTACCAAGGCGCCATTTTGGTACCACTTTTCTGAGCCACAGCCATATGAAGCACCTTGCCCCCCCCTCCCCCCCGCCTAGTTGGTTTATACAGTGCAAATGCCGGGCGGCTCTGATTTTGACGAGCACCCTGAACGCACATCCGCGGGTTTGATTCTGAATTTGATGGCACGTTTTGGTCTTGGTTACATGGATACATGCAAATAGGTTGTTCCGACGGAACCATCGCATCTGAACGTTGCGAGTCCCGCTTCAATCTTATTCACCAAACCTATCCAGCTCCTGTAGCAGCTCCAAGCTTGGCAGGGATGGGCAACATTGGTTCAACGAAAAAGGGCCAGGGGCTGAACCCCCGGCACATGTCGGTCATGCCCCTAGTGTGATGCCCAGGAGAGCCGGCGTCGCCAGGCGAGAGCAGAGAGCTTCCGACTGAAACCCAGCGAACTGAGCCAAACGTTTGGAGTGAGTCGCTTCCCGTTCAGGCTCGATGTTTGATTCGCACGAATGGACTGCATGTTGCTGCTAATGTGTTTTCATTGGAACATAGCGACCCATGTTCGTGAATCATAAAGCTCATGATTCAGTTTTGGAATCTGGGACACTATCTAGCCAGCGCGTTTAAAAAGGCATTCATTCGGGTACAACGAAAACGCCCCTTTTAGACAGGAGACTCACTTGGACCTACGGATGACCCCTTTTCAGGCACACAAAAGGCCTCAGCGCTGCCTCTAGAACAGCCAACAATGTTGGCTGTGCTAAACCCAATTCCCCATGTCCACCCAACTTATGCACCTCACCTCCCACACAATTGGCGGAACAACTGGCAGGTTTTTGGTACATTGGTACATTGCATCAAGAGATGATGCTCACCAAAACAAAAAAACGGGGGCCCTTCACAGGGTTCCTTAAAGGATACATCCAGATACCACCTGCTTTACAAGAGGCTCCTTTCGGTCGGCTGGCACTTGGGTTGTGACTGGGCCAAGTATATCCTTGAATCGACCCTTTTTCAAAGAACAAAGAACAAGGAGAAATTGGGCGTGTCTTCTTGAATTTACAATTTGGACCCCCCAAAATGGCTTAAGATTTCTCCTTTTGGTTTCCCTTAAGAAAGCCCAACGCTTCGCCCGCTAAGAGACGAGCCGCCCGATTTGGTCGCCAGGCTGGGAGGCGCCAGCGTCGGAGCGCCCGGGCCTCGGGGCCTCGGATGCTCGGGCGCTGGGGTGGGCCTCAATGCGGAAGGTATTTGTTCCAATGGAAGCTGACGATCGGAGGGTTGTGGAAGACGACTTTCTTTTTGGGAAACCCCTCCCCACTTCCATGATTGTTGGACAGAGGGTGCCATCTGCTTTTTGGAGAGGATGGTTTCAAAGGGAGTTCAGGGGAAATAGCCAACGCCTTGCTTGCTTGTTCGAGGCAACGCATGACCTTGTGCAGTTTTTTTCCCAAGACCAGAAGGAAGTCGCACACAAAGGTGGAAACACAGTCGTAATATCTGAGCTGCAAGTTCGCATCTCAAATCACTGAATTAGCAGTTTGATTGATGAGCCATAATCCCACACCTAGGTCGGCGACGGCAACTTACCCGCATCCGGAAAAACTGAAAGCTTCAAGCTGACACGCGGTCCTCTGTGCAGGTCACAGTCTGCACAAGCTGGTCTTGGCGCACAAACTTTTTGCATGCTCAAGGATGTCAACTCATGCCGCGTTTGGTGTTCAAGTTCCAGTTGTACTACCTAAATTGAACTTTAGCACCACATCGAACACCAATTGAACACCAAGTTCTGAATTGGTATACCCAAGTTCTGCTGTTCCAATTGTCGAGGGAGCGGAATGACCCTTCTATTGCGCAAGGCTGGCTGAGCCCCTCGAGCACTGGGTGTCAGGGCGGCTTTTGCTTCTGGGCACAGGCACGCGTCAAGGGAACCCCAAGCTGATTGGGTCCCTTTAGGTTTTCCTTCAAACCGCCTTATTAAAAAAAAAAGCACCCTCAAACGGCCCACCCAGTCCCAGTCGCCTGGCGCGCCTTTTCTTTTGCGGGGAAGGGTTTCGTTTTAAGATCATCCAGCCGAGAAAAGGAACTGCCCGCTTTCCCCTTCTGGGTGTGTTTTGTTACCCCGCCTTTTTTTTGGTTCTAAAGGTACACCAAAAGGACAACTGCGTTTTTGTTTCTTCTTTTGGGGGGAGACCACAAAAAGACACACCCATTTTGGCCACTGGGCTGGCATCTCAGCCTTTGAGGTGGGTGCCCGGCTCCTTGCGAAAGCCTTCGCCTTCAGCCCCACGGTGTCCTTTGAACCCAGCGCCGCCCAGGGGCCCAGACACGATCCTGACCTTCCGTTTGCTGGATGGTCTTTAAAAAAAAATGTTTCCTGCTGGGTGTTTAGAAAGGGTTGTGTCACTACTGAAAATACTTGTTTTTTTTGGGCCTTCAGCGATCGCTGGTGGGAGATATTAGATGTGTGGGTAGCTCGTCTTTTCTTTGGTTGGAACCAAACCTTTTGATTGGCTAAAGGGCAACCAAAGAGACACCGTTGCCATGGGGTCCCCCTATTTTAAGACACACCCATGTGTCATTTCTTAGGCCTTCTAAGAATTGGAGGCTTCCTTTTGGTCCCGAAACACACGGTGGAAGGGATACCCTGCAACACACCGCACGGACCCAGATTGGACAGGTGCCCATGAAGCGGCAGTTTGCCATGCAGACCAAGTTCCACTTCCGCGCGGGCCAGGCAAACTGAGTTCAGACGTCAAGCTGATTTCAGAGACTTTCGTCAAACGTTGACATGGGAAAACAACCTGGATATTGTGACATTTGTTTTGTCAGATGTGGGGGCTTCTACGTTTCATGTGAGGCGATCCGCACTGCTCCAACACTTTCAGATCAGACTTTGAACTGATATCACGTCGGCACAATTCATAGCGTTCTCACCTGAGTGTAAACCGAGCTCACCTAGGACTCTTCGTGGGGATCCCTCGCTTCCAGTTAGACGTGCTGGTAGTTTGCGCGCAAGAGTTTCATGTGTGTGTGTGTGCAACATCAAAGGAATTGTTTGCCAGTTACACTGACATAGGCAGTGTGAATTCCCAGATTTAGACCGGTTCGAAGGATAGTCATCTCTCACTTGCAGTCTATTTGTTCATTTGGAATTATGTTTAGGCGAGTGAAAGAGAAGGAAATGGAACCAGATGCAGGAAAGAGATGGCTCGTGAACTGTCCATTCCAGAATAAGTCGATGGTGCTAAAGGTGCAGTCGTAGCAATGCCAGGTGCGCCAGTTTGAAGGCGCGGCGCGTTTGCGCGAGTCGTTGGCTAAATGCGCTGCTATGGGCTTTGTTCGTGTATGCCCGTGTCAACATCTGTCGAATCGGTGGGAGTATTGATTTGGACTTGCAGCGGACGAGAAATGTGCATCCAACCCAGGATTTCGCTGAGCACGTGGGAGTTCCGTACGCAGATGCCTCCCCTCAGAATGTTTGCTGGTGACAGGAAAGACACGTTTCTAATGGAGCCTTTCCTAATCTGGGTAATAAGGGCTTTTGTGTGTGGATAACTGAACCAATGGGATGCTTTTTGTGGGTGAAACTGATGGTTTCCGGATGCCGCGTACAGAAGCCGTCAACATACTGGGGAGCGCCATCAGTGGGAAGTGGTTGGGATCATTATCCACTGCAGCATTGCCCGTGTCGCCCAGCGAGCCGCGACGGTTGCAGGCTTCTTCTTCAGCGGCGTATTGGATTATATCGCTGTCCACGGTTGCTTGCTCAGCTCAGTTGGCAGTGCCAGCGAGTGAGATGCATTTGCCTTGATTTCAGAATGAGGTTGTCACAGTATGGCTCCGTTTGCGGATCTCTGCAATTTCGGCACGCACACCGAGTCATCAGGCTAGCGCAAAGTCTCGGCACACCGGATCCAGTCTCGGAAGAAGACAGGCCAAGTCCCCCGGCTGAGGTATGTCTGAAAAAGATCTTACATTACGATCAAGATGCTGAACTCAGGCGGCTGGCCTGAAGTTTGGACTGGGCACAGGGATCCGCAAAGAAAGCTCACAGGATTCCGGGCAGGTCTTTGGTTTTAGGAGGTAAATGTGTAAGCTCTGGATCAAAGGTTTGAAATCTAGTTGCCATTCTGGCAATGTGACCTCGGGGTCATTGGATCCCAGCGTGCTCCCAAATCATGTCCGGCCTTCGGTTTGCAGGAAACGTGAAGCTGGAATTTCGGGCTGTTACTTGGGAGAATGCCCTCAATGGGGCTTCGCCGAGTTAGGTTGTCATGCTTGCGTGCATGTGCTGCTTAAACTTGCAGCAGCTGTAGCCTGTTCACTAATTTGGACGCTTGACAGTGATCAGGACATTTTCTGTGGGCGAACATGCAATTTTCTTCGGCAGCATTCGCGGAACCGAGCCTTTGTCAGTTTTGTTAGTGAGATCATGGCCTTGCTTTGACTGCTGTGCAGGTGCATCTTGGCCAAGACTGGGCAGTGGGTGCTGCTGCCACGTGTTTTGTTTGAGCTTGGCTCGGCAGGTGAGCGCAACAGCATCTCATTGTTTTGTGGCCCGTAAACAACTTATCATCATTGGATCGGGACGTTGCTGCTGGGAGCAAGGCACGACTGCCTGATATCGGTTTGATCACGTGCCATAGATATCATGATCAAATCATGAGGGACAAGCTTCTGAAGTGCCACACTTCCACAGGCTAAAGACACTTGTAAATGCGATGCAGTCGCATGATTTGCTGACTCTGTTTGTCGAAGTGGTCACGAGATCAGAGACTGGAGGGAGGGAGGGAGGGAGGGAGAGACTTAGCCTTGCTACTTGGCACTGATCCGAACAGTACACAGTGTTTTCCAATGACTTCGTAGCTGCATCTTGGACCAGATCACACGCTGCCAGTCTCCTGTGAACCATATAGCATTGCTAGGTGCTCAGCGAGGCGACAGCTGGATGAGAGTGCCAGAGCCACAGATGCTTGAAATGAGAAGCCTCAGCTCCCGAACTTGCGGCGGGCTGCCAGCAAAACCAGGATGACTCAGTCAATGCAAGTGCTACGTCAAGCCGACTTGAAAGGCAAGGAACGAAAGGGAAAACACTGGGAATGGAAGGGGAGGGAGCTGATCCCTGCAATACATTCTCACAACTTGACCTTACTCGAACACTCTTGGAAAGGCAGACGGGCCATTGTGTTATCACGATGTGCACTTCAAAGTCAACACTATGTGCAACCCAAATGATATACTCCTTGAAGCCTGCGAGAACCTTTTAACAGCCAGATATTTTGGTTTCCGCGTGCGGAGGGTAGCAAACTGGCGTCCCTCAAGTCCTAACCCAACGATTTCAATGGCAGCTTGGACACCTCTTAACATCTCTTAACATCCGCCCAACTCGCTGAGGTCACGTCCGCCACGCGGATGCCAACAGCGGCCCTCTGAAAGAGCAAAGGTGCTTGCTGCGGCAGGCCCCAAGAACTTCGGTGGCCTCGAGCTCGCTGGTTTTATTTTTTGGCTGGAATGCCAGAAATGGCTGATGGACGGAAAGCCCCATGTTCAACCCTTGATGGATCCCTCGCACTCGCTTTTGCATCCGAGGAGCACTAGCCGAATCACGAATCCCGTTTGCTCTTTTATTTACTTCCCTTGGAAGCCAAAGAGTGACTTCTAAACCACACACTAGAAGGTACCCTAAGGAGACATTTCCAAGTCACAGACTTTCAAAGGTACTCTAAAAGGTACCAGCTTTCAAAGGTACTCTAAAAGTCCCAAGCTTTCCGACGCAGATGGCCCGTCCTGCCAGATCTTTGCATCTTGGGCCCAGATGCTGGCGGCCTGCGCGCAGGCGATTCGCTTACTCCGCAACCGGGGTGGAAGGGTCGAAGAGTCGCGGCGATTTGAGGTGAATCCAAGACGCTTGGCGCTTGCTTGGCTTACCCGAACTCCGAAGATGGTCGGTTTTTGCCAGGTTTTTCCATGCAAGACGGTTTACACACTTGGGGGCAAAGTGCAGGAGCTGCTTGGCCTTGCTAGGCTTGCGCTTTCGAATGGCAAGAGCGCGGTGACATGCTCGTGAGGCAACTCAATGGGAGTTCAGGAATGTAGCGGGGAAAAGGGCCGGACGCTTGGGTTTCATTTTGGGCAGGTGCACAAGCAAGGTCGAGGTTTGCAAGGTTTGCCTAGAAGTGGATTGACTTGCGCAGGCGGATGAATGAGGCCTAGCTATGTGGCATGAGGAGAAGTCCTTGCCATTTCGCGAGATGGCAAGGGCAACTCCGTGTGCCTGTCTTCCGACACATGTTTAGGCCGCATACCGTGCTGGGTTCCTTTTGTCAATTGATTTACAGCATCTTGAAACCTCATTCTTGCGCGTACCTGGCCACAAAGGAACCTGGCTGCGCATCTTTCAAACCCGTCCTAGTCGGCCCCTGGCGTTGCCGCCGGGGTGTGCTGGCTAGCATATACAAGATCTGCTTTGGAGTTTCTGCCCACTTGCAGGTCTCAAAGGGAATTTCTGCACATGCTAAACCATGGTTTGCAGATTGAGCGATTTGCCTGCGCAAAGAGACGTGAACAAAAGGCCTCAGTCAGGTCGCAGGGATGTTTGATCCTGCTTCTTCGTCGGGTCCAGCCTCCACACTGGCAGGTGCTTGCAAATGTGTGTTTGATTGGAGAAGCGTGTTGATGTTTTGTCTTTTGACGTCCTGGACATGCAGGGCAGAACACACGATCAGCCAAGAATCACAGATCATTCAGAAGCTCCGAAGGCATGCCCAAGTGACCCAAGTGAGATAGTGAGGCTGAATGCCGGACAACTATTAGCCAAGTGCTCTTGACTTTGCGCACAGCTACGCACAAGTCGCATGACCACGTGGGAAGTGACAACCGCGCCGTCGCTGTCGCTTTGCACATTGATGCCTTGAAGTTTTGAAGAACCAAGCACGTATAGATAGATTCATGGCAAACCTACATGCATCGTTGCTTGCAGCCATTTCGGCCGTTTCAGCGCAGAGGGAGGACGCTGTGTGCGAGTGCGGAATCCACTCAAGGCACCGCGCAGACAGAGCCGACGGACGTTTCCGTCTTGTGACCCCGAGACCACCGAATCTTGGGTCAGCCGTTTAATCCAGACACCCAGGGGTGCCCTGTTTTCCCTTTTGCAGGAGGGGGTTTCGATTTAGCACCAACTACCCGAAAACGTGTCCCCTTTTTTCGATGGACACTGGGCGTTTGGGTTGCTTTGTTAGATGTTCATCGACACCTCAAAGACTCTTAGACCTGTTTTTGATGGAAGCTTGTAAGATCACACTGAATACTTTGAAAAGTGACTAGCTTCACAGCCTCTGCAGTGTAAACATGGTCTCACCAAATGAGCCAGTGTTTTCGGGGTACATTCCTGGTTGAAATTCAGATTTTGTCTGGCTCAAGAGGCTTTGGAATCCCTTTGGCTTTGCATTTGGGTGTGTCTGTTTTAGACAAACCCCGTTTTGGTTGATTCTAAAAGGGAAACCAAAAGCAAGGATCAGCACCATTATGATTAAAATGTGTTTCGTTCTTTTTTTTTTTGGGGGGGGGGTTCCCTAAAACAAGACTGGACCATTTGCAGCAGGTGATTTTACTTGCTGACTGTCTGCTTGGGCGCTCGTTTTAGCTTGAATGATGCTGTTGCAGGTCGGCGTTTTATTGCTTTATCACCAAGACTCATGCGGCCAATGAGATGCCTCGGGTAAGCGATTTAATCGGCCTCTACTGGTACTTGAAGCGTTGGTCAACTTGCAACCCGTTGTTCAACTGGTGTTGATGCTGCCGGTCGATTTTTAGGAATGCCAGTGATGCATTCCTGTCAATAGAAGTCAATGTTCCTGTGACTTCAGGCATGGGCGGACATGGACGTGGAGTGCCCGAGTCTCAGATTTCGCAGCAATCCCTGTTTATTGTCTTTGTCTGTTTTCTTTGTTACGTCTGCTTGATTGTTTTTGGCTTGTTTGTTTGCTTGCTTGTTTGTTTGTTTGTTTGTTTGTTTTGCATGTTCGTTTGTTTTGCATGTTCTTCACCTTCCGAGCTTCCCGAATAGGCGGTCTTGACTTCACGAAGAAGAAACACCTGCAGACACAGTGCACAGCTTCAGTGCTTCAATGTGGACTCGCAATCTGGACTGCACGTACAGCTATGACCTGAACGCCTGCCATTTTTTCCTGGCTATTTGGAGAAGTGAGTCCATCATTTGTTTGCTTGTGAAGGTGGTGGGGCCACCAGGGTTTGGCGTGCAAGGCCTGACGTCAGTCGGATTTCCTGCAGGCCATTGCACTCCTTGCGGAGCGGCCATCCCTTGGTTTGTGCCTCAGTGCGTCGGGGAGCGCACAGCGGTCTATGGGCCGTGCACAGAGTGAGGTAAGGCGGAAAGGGTTGCGGCAAAAATTGGAACAGGGCTGGCCCTTCGCGCGTGGGTATGACCAGCTGTCCTTGTTCAATCAAGAGTAATTACCTACTGTGCCGAGAGGTTCTTTGCCACAACTTGCCTCAGGTTGTTTGCCTGAGCCTTCTGGTGGCAGCAATGACGCTGGCAAGTCGGGCTTCCCAGACCAAGCTTTCTCCGCAAAACCGTGTTTGAGGTGGACGAGCAAAACACGCGGTGTTGAATGCTTTGAGGGGTGTTGGCACCCACATACCCGACCACTCGGACAGCTCATCGTTGGCCACCAAGTCAGCTCCCCGCTGGGCGTTTTTCGAGCCCACCATTGAACATCATTGACACAAACAGTTGCGTGGGCATTATTATATCAAGGCATGATGAAATTGTTACTGGCACTTGCTCCGCTCCAAACCCTGTGTTTCTTCCCGCTGGCGTTTTGTAGATCGCCCAGGCATTTTGTCGAGCTAGGCCACGTGTGTTTCTTCAAAGGCGCCATTCTCCAATCCGAAGTCTTGCTGACCATGCGACGGCTGTTGTTCAGTTCAATTACAGTCCGTTGTGCTCCAGTGAACATTGCTCAACTAATGTTTCTTGCACAAACATATTTGCCCATCGCAAGGACAATGATTTCGGCTTGTTTCCTTCGGTGGCAGATATTCTGCAGCGAAACAATCTGTCATTTCATGGACCTTGGATTTCGGACGTTGTCTCAATCTCAGCTGTGTCGTTTGTTGAATGCCTCATCATCTCATCGCGTCCAACCAACTTGTTTTGCACTTAGTCTTGCTCAGAGTCTCCATTGCCACAGGTTCTTCCTGATTTTCCCCAGGGCAAGGTTTTCAGTCGTCCAGCCAAATGCTTGGACACTGAAGGCTGGAAGACAGATTCTTGCGGTATTGTGTGTGTGTGTTGGGGTCTGCGTCTGCGTCTGCGTCTGCGTCTGCGTCTGCGTCTGCGTCTGCGTTTGTGTCTGTGTCTGTGTCTGTGTCTGTGTCTGCGTCTGCGTCTGCGTCTGCGTCTGCGTCTGCGTCTGCGTCTGTGTCTGTGTCTGTGTCGGTGTCTGTGTCTGTGTCTGAGTCTGAGTCTGTGTCTGTGTCTGTGTCTGTGTCTGTGTCTGAGTCTGAGTCTGTGTCTGTGTCTGAGTCTGAGTCTGTGTCTGTGTCTGTGTCTGAGTCTGTGTCTGTGTCTGTGTCTGTGTCTGTGTCTGTGTCTGTGTCGGTGTCTGTGTCTGTGTCTGAGTCTGAGTCTGTGTCTGTGTCTGTGTCTGTGTCTGTGTCTGAGTCTGAGTCTGTGTCTGTGTCTGTGTCTGAGTCTGTGTCTGTGTCTGTGTCTGTGTCCTTGTCTGTGTCTGTGTCAGAGTCTGAGTCTGTGTCTGTGTCTGTGTCTGTGTCTGAGTCTGAGTCTGTGTCTGTGTCTGTGTCTGTGTCTGAGTCTGAGTCTGTGTCTGTGTCTGCGTCTGCGTCTGCGTCTGTGTCTGTGTCTGTGTCTGTGTCGGTGTCTGTGTCTGTGTCTGTGTCTGTGTCTGTGTCTGTGTCTGTGTGTGTGTGTGGGGGGTTGTCGCTATGCTAGCTGCTTGCTACTAGCTGTTTGGCTCCTCAGATTGTCCAATCGTGTTTTTGGGTTGGCACTGGGCTGCAGACCCCCAAGCTGAACCTTGGAATCTGGCACCTCGACTCATCTCAGTCCAGCGAGCTCTCTCCAGCAGCCGTGTGCCCCGGAGTTGTTTCGCAGGTGAGACTTTTACTAAGTGAACCAAGGGGCAATCTACCTGTGGCTTTGTATTTTGCATTCAGGTCGCACTGCCTTCGTGGCGCCGACAGTGCAGCCGGTCTGCAGCTGAGACTGGCTTTTTGTGGCGTTCTGTTTCCTTAGCTCAGTGGTTCCGCGCAAGCTAAATCCACATGCAAACCTAGATCAAACATCCTGGAAGCTTTGGTTAGGGTTGGATGTTCACAACCAGCAACTTTGCACGTCGCGGCAAGACTGGGAGTTTGCCAGCAAGCTTACTCACTCTATATTGGGAAAGCTGTCCCAGCCCCCACTCCTTTGAAAGCTGAACCAGGTTGTACTTGTACTTGCACGAACCCAATGGTTGTGCCTCATGCCACACAATCAGATTAAGGAGTTGCTTTGCGCAAGCTAGCCATTTGACCAGGTGAGAATTGACCTCGCCCATGCGGCTGGTTCCTTCAAACGAGGGTCCCGTGTTAGAATTTGTATCAAGTTTTCTGGTTGGCTGACGAATTCTTTTCAGTGAAACCAGGCAGATGCTGCTGGCAGTCGGTCTGGTCGAATTGTTGTTGGCAGTAAGCAAAATGGCTGTTTGCCGAAGACACCACAAGGGGAGCGGGTCCTAATATTTTCCCTTGACGCGGGGTTTGCAAGTTTGAACGCATGCTTCCCTGAAGCGGGACACAGCGACCTTCAAGCATGGGTTTGTGCATGTCGCAGGTCTCCCACCAAGTGGCTCCGGCGGCCGTCCAGGCAGTTCGAGAGTGAACGGGGGCCGAGTGCTGGGCGGTTTGTGGGTAGCGTCTGCTGTATCAACCCTAAATTGCCCAAGGTATTTGATAGTTTGGCCAAGTGAGAGCCTGTTTGGCGGACGGAGCTGTGGACTTGTTCAACACAAACGGCTATGGCGGCTATGCCTGAGGACCTTGGAGACGGAACAAATCCGCAAATTTCCTCAATATTTGGCCGTTGTGAAGCAACACTTGGGTGCTTCCAAACAACAAGCTTTGGCAAAGGCCAAGGCCTGAGGTGGAAGATAGTGGCAAGTGGCTCCGCCACTATGCAAAGCCAGCACCAGCGGGACATGTTGATCCCAATAGTATTCTTGATGGCTCCCAGCCAACCCCTCAGCTTTTTAGCCGTTTTTTGTGTTTGGTGGTAGCTTCCATTTAACCCACTAACAGTTAGACTTTC